ATACTATAAAGTAGTCAACTACACTGCTCCCACGAACGAGGATTATGGCAAGTTAATTGTCCGATGAAATCCCCTCTGGTTCTGCCATTAAGGATTCGAAGACACGTCGCACACATATATCATTTAATAATTTCCCACGGGTAGATAAGTGCACGTCTTTACTGACGGACTGATATATCATAGTCAGGGTTGTAATTATCATATAAAGGGAGAAGATTATCTTGAGAATCATTATCTATAAAGTCTAGTTCACCAGTCCCAGTTCTGGCATTCAAAATCTCCTGCTAATACAATTTTCCCTAATGTTGAGTACCTTGCAATATCTTTTTCTATAAGGTCAAATATATCGTCATTTAAAGAATGGGTGTAAGATGAATTTTCAGGGGGGTCATAAATGAAACACAAATATATATCTTCTGTAAGATTAAAAAGAGAGCTACTCAACTTTAACCAAATGTAGTCAATATTTGAATGCTCGAGAAATTTTAACATGATTTAATTGAATTTTTAACTAAAATGGATAACCCTCCTGATCTTTTGTTTGTGCGCTTTGATTTCGGTCGTTTCAAATTAACAGATTTAAATCCTGGTAACGATAGTGAATCATCAAAGGAGCATTGTGTTTCCTGTAAACATGTTAAACACAACAACGAATGACATTATTTCATTAAATGTCCAACCTGTAAAATTAAAGAAACTAACATTATAGTAGGAATCTTCTTAAGAATTAGAAGACCATTTGAATGGATATAGTATGTATTATACTAGTACACAGTAGTTTCAGACTCCATAGAAGTTGCATTTGTTTCTATACAGTAAACTACTAAATGAAAATCATTTTGCAATTAAAATGTGTCTAAACTACCCAGGCAAAAAATGTTTGAACTCAATGGTATCTAATATCCGGTACGGTGACGGACCATCAACAGACAGAAAAAAGGTAGGTTTCTGTTTATTTCTTTGTTATTTTTATGATATCGAAGAATATACATACATATATAACTATTTCCTATTGTGAGATGTAATGTTTTCTACAACCGTTCTAGATTAACGGAGAAATAAGTAAAAATGCACGCCAAGATGAGACGAAATGAGAAGTTTCAAGTGTTCTATGTGTCCTCAGATATTCGAGAGGAAAGATCTTTTATCTGACTATGTGACAGGAAAGCACAAAAAAGGTGTAGACCAAAATTGTTGGCAAATTAAATATGTAACAAAGGCTTTCGATACAGATCTAGCAAGTCTAAACATACTAGGAAATATCACCAATGAGGATGAACAGTCTGTTAAGTTGTATTGTTAATTTCAGGCCTTAATTATATTGATAGAGAACTCTTATACTGTTAACAATCTATTTGAATATTTTTTATACAAATGTCATTTTATACCAGTAAGAGAAACACATTCTGTTCTACAGTTGTTATATGTACCACTTTTTTTTTATGATTATTGGTTATAATTGTTTGTTAAATCTATTAGAAGATTGTAATAAAATTGATTAGGAATTTGAACTCAATGTTTCATCACGCACATATGAAAAATCCATTTTATACCCATACGACATCTAGTGTTTGCCACGCTACGCTCGGCGGTATATAATATGTTGGAATTACGAAAAAATCCTGTTTCGGCCCCTATAAAGTAGGAATTGAAGTGTTTACAGATTCCAAAAAAAATAATAAGTTGTTCTCTGAAAGAAATCGTTTTCCAACGAGCCATCACACTCCTTTTAAACGCTGAAGTTTAATTATGTTATGCGATTATGTATTTTTTTCTATGACAAAACCGGGTTCTGCTTTGTGGTCCGTCAACGTACCGGATATCAGATACTATGGAGTCCAAACATTTTTTTGCCGTGGTAGTGTAGACAGAGTGAATTAGCTTTACACGATACAAATGAGAATAAGCAGTAAACATTTCAATAATATATTAGTGATTGAAGAACAATTGTATAGGTTTTGTAATCATCTTGACATATCAATGTCAAACTACCTTTAGAATTAAAGAACCAATCGTTGTCAAATTTTAACTACTGTTCACTATTAAACAAACATAAAGATTTACAAAGTGATAATAAAGTGAGATTCAGCTAAGCAATAGAAATTTAAGTTGATAAAAATCAATAGACAGCAAACATTTAGGAACAGACGAGAAGATGCGTTGATCATGTATTCATCTAGTTCCTCGTCATATGATCCCTTCATCTTCATATTTTCATTGATAGCAGATCTGATTTTTTTGTAAACTCTTTTCAATAGTCTCCTACAACGAAACTGCAACACCAATTGAAACAAAATTTCCATTATTGATTTTAAGGGTATGCATCTTATTGGTACTACCTACTTGTAAAAGCTATATAATAAGGAGGATAGTTGTTTCTTTGGCAAACATACCACTTGTCCTTACTTTTGTATTACATGCATATTATGTTTTCATGGTCTAACTTTTGTCTAAAATCTGTTAGTATTCATACTTTGATGAGTTGAGCCTTTTTTCAATTAATGTTTATAGTGCGTCCTTTTATGTCATATTGCTACACCACTATGTCAGGTTAGGGTGAAGGTTGGCGCCAGATAAAACGTTCAAACCCACTGCATTTGTTTGCACCTGTCTTAAGTCAGGAACATGATGTTCAGCGGTTGTCGTTTGTTGATGTGGTTCATAAGTGTTTCTCGTTTCTCGTTTTTTATATAGATTAGACCGTTGTATTTCCTGTTTGAATGATTTTACACTAGTCATTTTTGGGACCCTTTGTAGCTTGCTTTTCGGTGTGAGCCAAGGCTCCGCGTTAAAGGCCGTACTTTGATCTATAATGGTTTACTTTTACTAATTGTGACTTGGATGGAGAGTTGTCTTATTGGCACTCATACCACATCTTCTTATATCTATATACAACATGTCCTTACTTTTATTTTACATGCATATGGCTGAAAAAATAAACTTACCCCACAATGAGTTATAGCCTTAATACGACAATTGTTGGTTATTGTTACAATATAATTTTTATCATTATGAAATTTATTTTTAGACAGAAATTATAAACGACAAAAATGATAGGCCACAGATGATCTACAAAATGGAAAAATGAGTTATTGCCTCTTAATGGCGATTTAAGATAAAACAACTCTACCGTTTTCTTCCTCCTATATTTAAAACTAAAAAAATATGGACAGAAAAGTTACAGAAAAGCTGTGGAAATGAAATCAAAATTGTACTTTACACCAGAGACTCGTCGTGTTGTGTGCATGAACATTATATCATATCATTTTTTTCACCTGATCTTTCAAGACGTACAATTTGGTTTTTGTTTTATAAATTTTCAAAGCATTTCCTTAAAGGAGTAAGTTAAGGCTTGTTAAATCATCACTTTTTATGCGAAATGAGTGTTTTATACTCCTACGGACATGCCTGTAGTGATTGACATTGTTGCTTTCATCAGTGTCTTCGTGCATCATAGGGGTTTATCATGATCCTTGTTTAATATTTGAAACATCTAATATTATACCTTGTAACAGTACCTGCCATCCAAACGGGGTTTCTATAATAAAAAAATGATGCAAACTTTCTTTGGTCATGTTGGAAACCTAAATTGAAACATGAGACAACACGTATTATCTAAGAACGTATGTTTATGAAAATAAGGAGATGTAGTATGATTGCTAATAATACAACTAACAGAGTTCATGTCAATGTTGGGTGTATAACCAGAGATGTTAGAAATATAATATTTGTAAATTTCAGAGCTATTTTTATCAAAGTAATTGGTTGGGGGTACTCATGCTGGCAATTACGTTTTCTGTGTGGTGTTTGTGTCTTCGTTTTGTAAACTCGTGTGGTCGTGTGATCAGTATGCGTCGCATTCAAACGAAATCAGTATATGTGGTATACTTTAATATCACAGCAACCAAACAGCACCTACAATGTAAGATAGTATACATATTTCATAAAGTTATCTTTTATTCCATTGACCTCTTCCATATTATCAATATAAAAATAATAAGACGTGTTATGATTGCCTATGACACAGAAATTAAGTACTATAGGTCACCGTACGGCCTACAACAATGAGTAAAACCCATACCGCATAGTCAGCTATAAATGGCCCAGAAATGCATTATCATTGATTTAATTTAATAACGATATTTGCATATCTTGCGCTAGAATATTTTAACAACAGCAGCGCCTGCAGCATACGTAACATATATCTCCCAATTGATTTTCCCGGTCTTGTTTTTCCAATCATGATTTCCTTGATAGAGGGTTGCTGCTCACAAGGAAGCTATTAAACCAGGAGTTCCAAATGGTGAAGTTGAAATCATCCCTTCGTAAATTTTATGGAAGCCATCACGAATTGGTTGACGTTATAGAATATAGAAAAGAAGATGTGGTATGATTGCCAATTAGACAACTACAATATCTGTTTTACAGATGATAGCACATATGGCCCTAACGTTGTAACTACAATCCCGTCCTCTTTTCACGAATATGACCTACCGAATTAGACTTATTAACCGGGTTTGTACTAACATGAGCAACACGACAGGTGCCACCTGGGAAGCAGGATATGCATACCCTTCCGCAGCACCTGAAAATGTTTTTGCTGGAGTTCGTGTAGCTTAGTCTTTAGTTTTCAGTACTATTGCTTGCCTGTTGGTCTTTGTCATGGCGTTGTCAATTTATTTTCGACTAATGAGTTTGAATGTCCCTCTAAAGTCATATGATACTTTAAATTTAATGACAAAAAGTTGAAAATGTTTATATACTTGAATGGCTAAGTTTTACTATGAAACAGTTTGTAAAATTGAGAATGAAAATGGGCAATATATCAAAAAGACAACAACCCGACCAAAGAGAAGATAACAGCCGAAGACCACCAATGGGTCTTCAACGCAGCAAGAAAATCCCGCACCCGGAGGTGGTCCTCAGGTGGTCCCTAAATAAAATTGTGTACTGGTTCAGTGAAAATGGACGTCACACTAAACTCCAAAACATATGAAGACTTTGTTATATAAGAAAACTTTTATTTGATCACAATTTTCAGAAATGTATTGTGATTGAATTATTGTCTTCCGGTTTTCTAATTCGCCGACAGCTTTTTTTAGATGCACTGATCCATGCACGTTTACAAAAATTAACGTAACAACTACAAGCGCCGCTATATACGATGATTCATTCTCGTATTACGCTGATATCATGAATTGCAACATAAATATATTTCCCATCCTAATTAAATTCTCGGTAGAGCGATTTTGAAGTTTTCAGATACAGAAAAACAATAAAGTAAAATTTATTCATTATAACTCTCTGGTCTCTCGTCTTCATAATTATCTTTTCCCGCTTCTTTCCCTTCCTGCATTTGTGCTTCGTTTTCTAGTAAAAGCTTTTTATGTCCATCCCAACATTTTCTTTTGTTGTCACACCGTTTCATGACGAATGGATTGTTAAGATGTGGCCGGTAGATAATTTTCACACGATGGAAATGACCACTATCCTCACTGCTTCTAACGTTTAACTTTTTATTCGATTTTAAAGCTTTGACGTTTTCTGCTGATAAATCAATATAATGAATATGCGGACCCGGATCGGACTTAGTTGCCATTGACATTACGAGCGTTATTCCACTTTTCACTGATAATTTGATCTGTGTCTTTCTCAACTTTTCAATATTCTCATCTGCAGGTACATTGTGGAACATTTTCAGATATTTGTTATTTTCCAAAACTATGTCTTTAAGAGATTCCATTTCTTTATACGCTGTGTTTCCTTCGCTGTACAGTGGCATGATGGGATATCTCTGACGAATGATCCCTATACCTTTAATTTCCGGAAGAAACACCCGGATGCCAGCTGACCTGGTATATCTGACTTGACCGTTTCGATCTAGCACACCAATGCCTCCGTTTCCCGCCTTTCCTTTTTTCTTTTCTTTTCCACTATAAAAACTTTGTGGGGTTTGGAAAAAATACCAACTATTAGTACCATTATACGCTGTATGAATATCATTCCCGCCATTTCGTTTCCCATTTTCTGTAACGTATTGTGCTTCCGGGTCATTCTTATAATGACCTTTGTAGGTAATATTATAAGGATTCCAATTGCTGAGTGGGTTAAGGTAAATGATTTCAAATGGAACAGCGTATGACCATCGCTGGTTGTAAGGTTTACAAGGTTTGTTCTGTAATGATTCTTCTTTTGTGCAGTAATTTAAACTTTTTCCTGCTACTTGGTCCTGAGATGTCATCGCCATAAAGAGATTGCTGTCAGAAAATGTTCGTTTTCTTAATGATAAACGCATGTAATCAGGTCGAATTTCTTCCCAGAATCGATGATAATATGCACTGTTTAATATCCTTTTCTTTTTATCATCAGCACTAAATGTTAGAAGATTTAATGCTTCGTCTGTCAAGTTCCCCCCATAATTGTCTAAACCTGGTATTTCGCCCATTAAGCTGTCAATTAAAGCTGGATTTTGATCAAATCTTTCATTCCATACGTTATTGTCACGTTGATTGAGTTTAAAACGGGCACGTCTAGTCTTCATCTCTTCTTCTTCGGAACGTAGGAACATCATTCTTGAGCTTAAATCATCGATCATGCGTAAACGATTTAATGGAAGATCACGCTTCAATGGATGACAAACAATTCTATATATCCATTGGCCGTATATTGAAATTTTCCCATTTTCAATATTAATTATTGTTTTTGGAAGCCATCCAAAATTTTCAAGACCGTCTTTCCGTCCTCCGTAAGATGTAAACATTATTTTCTCTTCAAGATCATGAAAAGTACTTGCATCAAACTGATGTCTGTCACTTAAAAAAGGTTCCAATATATGAGTATAGTTATCATATACCCACATTCCCTCAAGATAACACAGAACAGGTTTGAAATATTTGCGATAGTCCCTTTCTGTGTAATTTTGATCATTAAAAGCCCTAAACCACTCACGCATTTCTTTCACTTGTTCAGCCTCAGTGGGTTTCTGTGTTACTTCAGTTGGAACATCAGGGAAAGGTATTTCTTCAGTTTCTAAGAAATTGTTCGATGAAGTACTTGGCATGCGTAATTCAGGATCATTATGCCGTGTTCTGAATTCAACTCCATTTAAAACAGCAACAAATTCCCCGACACCAATTGTACGTTTCATATGGGAGTGATCATGAATGGCTGCTACTCCTCTTTTTGATCTCGTTGTCGGAAAGTGGTATGGTTTAGTTCCATCGTTTATTATTCTCGTCTGTTTCAAACCTGAATCGCCGTCACTTCGAATTTTTTCTTCTATAAATAATTGTTGTAGCATAACCTGTCGGGAGAGCTTACCAATTTCTTTCTGTAGTCTCTCTATTTCCTCCTCATTTGTGAATATCGTCTGTATAGATAAGACCACACACAATAATTGCAGTATTTTTACTGATACATATTTTCTATCCATATCCAAAGATTATCACCTTTGAATATTTACTAATGCAACAGCTGGTTAACTGAATGATACTAGTATTGACACGTTGTGTAGTTGTGAACTATTTGAATCCTTTTCTACTTTTAACAACTGAAAAGAAATAAAAAAATTAAATGCTTTTGCATCCTTGTATTTGTGCTTGAAATTGAAATGAAGGCAGTTTTGGTGTATTGTTTAGGCCTATAGATTTGTCGGCTTTCTATTTTGTCTTTTCTTCTGATGAAGGTTATTCTAGAAACACGTGTGGTGTGCAGCGATATCACGTACACGTTATTTGTACACATCTTTATTATATGTTTGATTAACATGACTGCGAAATATTTCAGGTATTTTACAACAAATGCACAACAGCATACCCTGCATTATAAATCATGAAACATTGTTCATATTAGACCGATATACTGTAAAATTTTAATTAAGAATTTCCTTTTTTAAAATAAAAGCTGAATATAAGTATAAACTTAAACAGACAAGAACCAATAGGAAATAAATAATTTACGTATTTAATATTCAACATACGTAACATTTTGTTGAAGATCATCTTCTTACCTCAAAATGTCTTTTTTATCATTTTGTATTGTGTCTTTGAGATCCTGTTTGATAGATTGATTATTATGATTTGATTTGATTTTTAGTGTTTTAACGCCACTTTTAAGCACCGCTTTTGGGCTATTTCGTAGCGGCCAGTTTTTATTGGTGGAGGAAGCCGGAGTGCCCGGAGAAAACCACCGACCTTCGATAGGAAAACTGACTATCCTAGTCAATTAAGATTGGAGTCAGGTGCACCCGCATGAGCGGTGTTCGAACTCACAACCTCAGTGTTGACTGGCTAATGGTTACAGTAGTAACTACTTAGACCACTCGGCCACCGAGGCCCCCTCTCATTATAATGTGTCCGCCATTTCTGGACCCTAGACCCGTTTCCGTAAATAGTTGACGTTACAACAAAAGAATAAGGATTGTTGTATTACAAACGACTTTACCTAAAAAAAAATGTACTACAAATTTTTTTTTTTTTAGAAATATGTGAATGTGAGTCTAGTGTATTTTGTTGTTAATCTATTACTCATTTATGTCTTCACAATAATTATTCGTGAAAAGATAATTTCATGTGGAATATTCTTTTTCTTCAATTTATCAATAAATTTACATAATTTAAAAAAAGCTTGATTTAGAATTAGAATTTCAGGGCCAATTTAACGCCTCATGCTCGGATGAAGTCTCACAGATTCCTACATGATGATGGGGTCAATTGATGTTAATTTGAACTTCGTTTTGTTCACACAAATTATGATTTACCTTACCGTTTGTTGTTAGTTTTACTTAAAGAACCTCCTTACACATCCTTGAACTTATAATAATAGATCATCAAGTAGTGATTAGCAAATGTAAAAAATCATCACACATCTATGAACGTTGCATAAACATTAATCTAGACTTCCAGAGTAGGATAATGTTTACTGTCTATGTCTTTAAAATCAACTGGTTGACCGTTATGTAATATCCGTTTCACGGAAGATATCGGATATGTTCCTTATGTTCTTACAACAATCCCGTTCCCTTTTCACGAATGTGACCTACCGAATTATACTATTTACCCGGCGAGTTTGTAATGACATGAGCAACACGACGAGGGCCACACGTGAAACAGGATATGCTTACCCTTCCGGAACACCTGAGATCACCCCCAGTTTTTGGTGGGGTTCGCATTTCTTAGTCTTTAGTTTTCTATGGTGTGTCTTGTGTAATTTTATTTGTCTGTTTGTCTTTTTCTATTTTAGCCATGGCGTTGTCAGTTTATTTTCGATCTATGAGTTTGAATGTCCCTCTGGTATCTTTCGCCCCTCTTTTATAGTAACACAGAATAACTTGTGTCTTGTGTACCATTATTTGTCTGCTTGTCTTTTTCTTTTTTAGCCATGGTGTTGTCAGTTTATTTTCGATCTATGAATTTGAATGTTACTCTGGTATCTTTCGCCCCTCTTTTATAGCAACAAAGAATAACTTGTGTCTTGTGAACTATTATTTGTCTGTTTGTCTTTTTCATTTTTAGCCATGACGTTCTCAGTTTATTTTCGATCTATGAAATTGAATGTCCCTTTGGTATCTTTCCCCCCTCTTTTATAGCAACACAGAATAACTTGAGATAAATGGCAACAATGTCATGTCCAGAATTTAAGCAGTACAAATTACCGTTATTGTTTAATTTCTCCGCAATATACAACGATAAAAGTATTCAAACGAATTAAATTTCACTAAGTAGTTTCAAATAATAATTACTTTGAAAACTGAGAAATTATAGGATCAGAACCAAGGTTGCCTATGTTGGAAATGTTTTTTATCCGATTAGACCATAGAAGATCGTTAGAAGACGAATCCGCACATAATTCCTGTCAGATCGGATGCAAATTAAGCGAGTAGTTTTAATTAGAAACATGCATATCAGTTAAATTGAGACAAAGAAATCATTGATTTTCCATATTTTGATGGCTGTCTAATACAGGGCCATTATGCATAAATATTTTTTTTTTGGAACATTGTTTTATTTTATTTTAATTCTTCACGTTGATTTCAATATTACGAATTTCTGCCTGATGAGTAATTTATACTACTTGAAGCATCAAATATTAATTTAGAATTTCCCTATGTAATTTCGATTTGAGTAATTATAAATGATAATTAAAAAAACATTCTACACGTTTATAAAAATAAGTGAGTCTATGCCACCACTGGTGGAGTTTTTTTTCTCCACTTCTGTGTTGACATGAAATATCATTTATATCATCATAATAATAAATTTGTTGTTTACAAAACTTTTAATTGTTCGAAATATTAAAGTCTTTTTTACCCCAGGAATAGATTATGTTAGCAGTAATTGTCAAACATTTCGATATATTTGGTCCTAAATGCTATTTAAATCTGTATTTTATTTTGCTTTATCAATGTACTTGATTTGATGAGTACTTTGCAGACGAAACGTGCGTCTTGCGTGCACATTTGTAATAACGATACAATTGTACGCAAAACAATTCTGATAAAATATAACTTTGCCGTATCTTATAATGTTAGCCTTTACTTATTTTAACTGATGATTTCCATGACATTTGTTTATTTGCGGAAGTATATATCTTGCAGACAAAGATAAATTTAATGCGTCCGAAACGAACTTCTGAATAAACCTTCATCAGGAACGCACAAAGCCGAATATATGAAAGCCAAGGATGCATAAAAACCAAAAACAGAAAAAAGATACATACGAACTTGAAGATATAATGTCTTGATATTGTGAAAAACATGCAAACAGTTATTGGTTTAACTATTTTTAAATATCAAACTTTGGTCAGTTGATTAAGAACGGTAAAGTTTGATTCTGGTTTGAAATTTATGCATTATACTTAAAAAGTATACACATACCACATCTTCTTATATCTATCTATAATTAGTAGATCGATCTATATTAAGATCACATCATTCTTATCCTTGTTTATTTTTTTGGGCTGTCCAAAGTAAAACGGATAGGATTTTTTATAGTATCACAACGGCTAGTATCAATTTACCAGTTACTGTTAAGTTATCCCCCTCATAAAATATATATCAGCCCCTGGATGTGAGAAATATGACTCAGTGGCAATTATAACCAAAAAATATACCCTTATATCACAACGGTTAAAGAATATGAACTTTCCTAAACTTCTTAGATAGATGTGTAAACAATAGTAAGTTGTATGCACGGGTTTTATAAACGACACATTTTTTATGATACTCGTTTGAACTTACCGAAAATAGGCTTAAAGTACTTAACCTGCTTATATATACCCAATAAAATATGAAATTGATTTCAGTTATTCAAGATGACAATATGCTGTTTTCTGCGAAATCTTATAGAACAATTGCTATTACTCAAGGACATCCTTATTAATGAGACATTATTCATGTTCACAATAGCAAATGTATCAAAATAGAGAAATACATGCAAAATAATTCTTTGCTGAATTAATTGATGATATTCTAATTTATTTTAGTTTTTTTTTGTGAAGTGTGCTACTTGTTGCTTATCTTTGTAAAAAGTTCATACAATTAAAATTATAAATCTTATTACTTATTTCAATCACTTGAGACGTATACCAGGAGATGAAAGGCTTCTTATTCTTATCAATTTTAATATAAACGCTGATAATGACTTACCATAAAACATTGCTATTTGTCTCTCTCGTATCTAATTATATCTGCTAAGTATTTCCCTCTGATATAGAAACTTTGAGTTCAACGTTTATTCTAAACAAATTATAAACTATAAGTACTAGAACTGTTATAGAATGTGGATTTTCCTAAACACTTAAGATTGATATGTAAACAGTAAACATTATTGGCTTAATTATGTACACGACAATTATAGCAGTGAAGGATGTGTTTCCAATAACCTCTAAGACAAACGTGTAAACATATATGAATATAGTTCACCAATTATATGTACGGCATCTTAATTACAATATATCTCTTGTGAAGATAGCATAAACAAACTGTCGATGATAAATTGGAATTCCCAAGGTTATTAGGTATCATCTGTTATTTCAATGTTAAGTTTTATTTGCAGTGTGTTTATCGTGTTAATACTACATCTGAAGTACATATGATATTTTCAATTAAATTACAATTACTTTTACATAAATTTTGTAATGTAATTATTGCATACGATTCTATTGATAGTAGTATTAATTTTATATTTCAACTACTTTTAAGGCATGCCTTATAACTATATCATATGTGATAACAATGCGAAAGGGCTAATATGAAATAGTTTAGCATCAACCGTTTAACGGTGAAGAAAACATTCTTTTAAGTCTTCACATTCTATAATTCATTGTTTGATTAAATGATCCTATAATCTTATAATGTGTTATCATTGATGTGTTTCCCTCGGTTTTAGTTTGTAACCCGGATTTGTTTTGTCTCAATCGATTGATGACCTTTTGAAAAGCGGTATACTTCTGTAACCTTTATTTATCACACAGAAAATATCATAGTTATATATATTTCAAGCTTCCAAGTTAAACAGAAACAAAGAAAAGTCTAACGAAAATAATTC